AAAAAAAAAATGTTGTAAGGGCTTTTTATGATTTTTTTTTTTTTTTCCCCAATTTTGAGACAGGGTCTTGCTAAACTGCTGAGGCTGGCTTTGAATTTGCGATCCTGCTGCCTCAGCCTCCGGAGTCACTGGGATTACAGGTGTGCGCCTTCACAGCTGGCCAATGTTAGTCTTGAAACTATTTAAATATAAGCTGGTTATCTGGCCGGATGTCTAAGCAAGCTTCTTGAATTGGGGGGAAACAGATTACACTTTCACTAAAATAGTAGTTGCTTTGCGGTTTATATCTTATTTGAATATGATTAACACCAGAAATTCCCTTAAAATATCTCAAAAATATCTTGTCTTACCAAATTACATTAACGAATTTCATCATTAGAGATGCAGTAACTTTTCTTAAACGCCATGGCTAGAATATAGGGGTCTGGGTTAGATTGCGAGGTGGGGTGGGATTTATAAGTCAGTACCAATAAATTCTGTTAAAAAACAAAACAAAAACAAAAACTGTAGTTCTATCTAGATACGCGTGTTCTCACATCCCCTCACAAACGAATTATAAAGTGGTGAGGTTAATTTTGGACCATTCACCCCAAAACTGTTCATATTCGTAGAGATTAAGAGTTCACTTTTACAACGTTCACTTTGGGTTACTTATAAATTCATCACAAACAAGTTGCCCTCTGCCCTTCCCGGCACCTTGCTGGCATATCAACGCAATATTTTCTTTCTCCCTCTTTTTCACTAAAAAAAAATGAGGCAGCGTAGGTCACGAGGGCGCAGCCGTCACCCTCCCACAGCTGGTGGCACACTCAGTAACTTGGCCTCGGCGGTTTTCCGAGCGCAGTTCGAGGCGCGGAGCTCAGAACGGCCCCCGGGTTCGCCCCGGAGGAGTGCGGCGGGGCAGCCGCGGGCCTCGCAGGGCTATGAGACGAGGGCTCTGATCGGGCCGGACCCGCGGGAGGAAGTGAAGGGCGCAATCGAGCGTCGCCGACGCCTCCGCACGGCCCGGCGCCGCGGGCTTCGGGACGCGCAGGAACCGCGGGACAGGAGAGGCTGTGGGCGCCGGCCGCAGGGACCGGCTTTCTGAATGTCTCCCGCCTATGTTAGTCCCTCCGCGACGCGGGGACTCGGCTCCGGAGCCAGATCCCCTCCCGCGGCCCTCCGGGAGGCTGCGCAGGCGGCGGGTGCGCCCCGGGGAAGCCAGCGGCCCGGGTCCCACGCGCGGAGGCCGCCGCGGCCGGGCAGTTACTCCCGACATGCTCCTCCCGGAGGATTTCAAACCCTCACAGCAGCCTCCCCGCCCTCGCCCCCGGCCTGCCCCAGCAACAGGCGGTGGCCCGCTCCTCATTGGCCGGGCCCCGCGCCGCCGCGCGCCGATTGGCCGCGGAGCTCCGGCCCCGCTTCTGCGCTCGCCGCCACCTCCATTTTGTTGGTAGAGGCAGAAGGAGGTCGGCTCTCAGACGTAGGGTGGTCAGCAGCCAGCTCGTCGGCTCTCGTGGGCTTTGTTCGATCCTTGCCTCATCTCTCCCTGGAAAGGGAGGGAGGCCTCGACGTCGAGAGGGAGCCGCCGCAGTCCGAGCTTGAAGTCGGTGAGTGGCGGCGGCGCGGCCATGTTGGCCGCCGGGCACCCCATTGTTGGGGACCGGGACGGGGAGCGAGCCGCGAGCCTGGCGGCGCGGACTCGGAGGGGACCCGCGGGCTCGGGGGCAGCCCCCCCACCGCCCCGGCCGAGCGGGCCGCAACCGGGAGTGACCCTGTCCGGAACTGTAGTTTATGTAGGTYATTAGAACCGGAGGGCCCTGGCACCCTGGTGGAACGAAGGGGCGGTTTGGTAACTTGGTTCCCGGACCGTCACACGGAAGTGAAGCCCGGGTCAGCTGTTGGTGGACTCGCGTGTGTACGTGTGTGAACGTACGTTGTGGCTTGGAAAACTAGTTATGGGAGTGATGGCCAAAGGAAGCACCTTGTTTCATGGTGCGGACGGTGACGGAGGGGCGGCTGGGTGGTGTCAGACCGGGACTGGAACTCGTTATTTCCTGCGGTGCGGGAAGGGAGCCCGGGCCTCGCAGCGCCAGGCCAGCCCCAGGGAACTTCAGAAGCATGGTCTTGAGAAAATCACCCGTAAGCGTGTCCTGGTGTGGCCAACGCCACTCTAACATTTTGGTCACAAATACGTGAGTGAATCTTCTCTGGGAAGAAGATAAAAACAAAAGGTCGTGAACTTGCACCAACACTTATAAAATTTCTGAGTTCTTAAAATGAGGAAAACCATTTTCAGAGACAGATTATTTTCTTGAAAACTTTTTGTTAACGAAGTAGCATTCTTTTAAACAGTTTGGTGAATTTAAATTATCACTTTCTCTTGTTTTTTTGAATTGAAGTAATCAAGTAATCTTTACTTTTCTAGCTAGGACTTCTCTCAAACTTGTGTGCTGAGGAGACTCAGATGTTGGCCTCAGCTCCTAGGCTGAACTCAGCAGATTGGCCCATGAAAACTTCTRTATTGAGACAAAGGAAAGGATCCGTCAGAAAACAACACCTATTATCTTGGGCTTGGCAGCAAGGAAGAGGACAAGTAGTGGAAATCCTGCAATCGGAAAAGCAGACTGAAAGGTATAAAGCTCACATCATAATGGAGCAAACGTTTTATGATGAACCCATCCTAAACCATACTTTTTGAACAGGTTTTCATACTGATTTGTGGGTAAGCTCATCCTTCTTAGGAAAGGATGTGCATATAATAACGTGGGATTGCTTGCTTTAATTTTTGAGTTAAAAACATTGGAAGTACAACCCAGAGGACCAATTAATGCAAAAGGTGTAATCTCTTTTGTAACATCCCCTTAAGCATGTTTTACCCATTTTCAATCCTTCCCAAGATTTCTGGAGTTAAAAGAGCTTGAAGATACTTCTTAGTGTTTGAACTTTTCTTACTGAACTTTGACTCAGTATTTGTTTCCACTTACAGGTGACAAAGAAGCTGAAGATGGGTGGTGGAGAGAGGTATAACATTCCAACCCCTCAGTCTAGAAATGGTAGTAAGAACCAACAGCAGCTTAATAGACAGAAGACCAAGGATCAGAATTCCCAGATGAAAATTGTTCATAAGAAAAAAGAAAGAGGACATGGTTACAACTCATCAGCAGCTGCATGGCAGGCCATGCAAAATGGGGGGAAGAACAAAAATTTTCCAAGTAATCMAAATTGGAATGCTAGCTTATCAAGTCCCACCCTACTTTTTAAGTCTCAAGTTAATCAGAACTATGCTGGAGCCAAATTTAGTGAGGCACCATCACCAAGTGTTCTTCCTAAACCACCAAGCCACTGGGTTCCTGTGAACTTTAATCCTTCAGACAAGGAAATAATGACATTTCAACTTAAAACCTTWCTTAAAGTCCAAGTATAAAATAAGATATAAAGTACTAATGTTTAAATTTAGTTTATAAAAAGTTGTCAGTTGGTCTGAAACAAATTACAGATTCACTAGGGAGTTRACCAATTTGTGTAAAACTGCTTATTAATGTATGAATATTAATCAAATTTCATCTCATTTGTTTTACATATTGTGTGCACTGTAATATAATGGTGGTTATCAGTGCAACTTAAAATAATTGAACTTGATAAGTGTTCTCAATTGAATAGCTTTTAAGTGAAAACCAAGTTTATATTGGGAATGGTAAAGGAATCAACTTTTTATATTTTTATTGGGGGAATATAGTAAAAGATTCATGGATTAGAAGATTTACTTGTAGTGGATCAGATTAAGCATCTAGATGAGACAAGGATTGAAAACTAGGAGGACATTTGAAAGTTTAATGTCCCAGAAAGCCAAACTAGTAACACGCCAACATCATAATGCACTGCCGAGAGAATGTGAATTTTTAATAGTTGTATTTTACTAAATTGCACAGTGATGAATGTGTAAAGGGCACTTGGGGTTTACTAGAATGAGACACAGTATACAGTATAAGGTGCCCTGTTTCTTAAATTGCAATGGATAGGTGTCTGCCAATAGATGCACCCAAACCATTTTTATAGAAAAACTATTGAGCACTTGAYAGCTTTCAAAAAATACTWCTTTTTTTTGTATTACAGAACTGCAAAGCTATTCTGACAGTGATCTGGCCTCATATCTCTGCAAAGCTTAAAGTGGGGAGTTGTATAATGTGAAAGTTCAAAGTACCTAGGGGAGAAGAGCCATGTAAATACATGTAATAAACTTGTAGCATATATGTAAAGTCTWMTTGGCCTACAAAAATAGGATATTTTAGTATGAATTTGCTGAATGTAAGACCATGGACTGTTTTTTTATACTATGGCCTAATTTTAAAGGTCCAGAATTGTTTTTAAAGTTTGCCCTCATGCTAAAGTGCCAGTGTATGTGTTATAATTGATTTGGTTGTAAACTATATTACAAAGTAAATCCTAATGTAATTAAGTTTTGTATTATAACTAAAAAAGTCTAAGCTGCTAGAAGATTTCCTACTTTTAGGAGATGTAAAATGCAGTACAGGATTCCTCTACCCTCCAGTCTATAAACCCAAAGATTCATTTTGGCTCTCACCAGTTCTTGTAACCAATGATACAAATCTAAATTGTATTTGGTGCCAGTGAGTTTAATTTCTTTTTTTTTTTTTTTGGTCATAGTAAGTACAACCCAGGAAACCGCTTAATGCAAAAGATGTAATCTCTTGCATAACACCCCTTTAGGCGCGTTTTCACCAATCTTAAGGGAAAAATGCTAAATATGACAGCCTAATAGCAAGTTAGAAAAGTACATGGGTCAATTAAAAAGTCCTGATAATGCCCTACTTTCTAATTTCACGTCTTTGATGTTTTAAATATAACAGGCTATGTTATATTTCACTAAGTGAATTTAGATGAACTATTGCCCAAGTCAAATATTGAATATACTAAAGGCAGAATTTATGTAGTACTTATTGTACATGATACGAATTTGAAACATGAAATTAAAAAATAAAAATTTTCTCCCCAGTGGCTCGTTATTATCTTGAAAACTGTTATGACTGCTGAATCTTAGAATGTACATAACTGAAATGTGATAGAAATGTTGACTTGAAGAGTCTAATGTACTGTTGGTGTGACAATTACACAATTTTTGCTAGTTGGACTCAAGCCCCCAAAACAGTACTTGCAGGAACTATGCAAAAGTTTTGAAAGCCCAGTAAAATAGATCTATGTTTTCAGTTTCCAGAGTAAAATAGGACAAAAGAGCTCAAATTGGCAGGAACCCATCCATGTGTTTTTAAGTATGTGAAGGAACCCTTTGAATTGGCTTTCTAATGGACAGGCTCCCAACCTATAAACTAGTTGAAYAATCCCAGTAAAGGCACAGCTGTAAACAAATTTGTAAGTAAGGTACTCATTTTCTTTTTGTTTGTGCATAATTTCTATGAAAAATAGTGCCAAGAACTGCCAAGTTCTCTGATGCAGCACTGCAAATAGGGTTAGCAGACTCAATAATGTGCGGGAACCTGAATAAAAAGTCGATGATAATATGAACATTTCATATTATTAGAGCTAGTTAGAAAATACTAATAGTGGATAACCTTCAGAAAGTGTGCTGGCATGAAACCAATATCAAAGCTCATGTGAAAACCAAAAAACAAGTTTACAGATTCAGTTATACTTCCAGTGGGCCTTTTAATACATCTAATTCCAGTTTGTCTTATGTTTTGATAGTGGGCATGTACATTAAGTTTCAATGGAATTCAGGCCCATAACMTACCTTTAAATCCCAAGTAGTTTCTTCCCCCAAAGAAGCATAAAGTGGCAGTAGGGTGATAAAGGGTTTTAGGCAAGTTTCCCCCAGTGTGTTTTATTTGAATTCTCATAGGCAATTTCTTAAAACCCAAGAGAATATATCTCCAAAACTTCTTAAAACAAATGAGGGGAACGTCTACCACGGTAGTTGTATCTGTAAGGCAGAGCAAAATCTAAAAAAAACAAGATTTGTTGGCTCCTAGACCAGTTTATTATTTCACTCTCCAGCATTCAAAGAAATGTGATCTGCAAAAACTAGATACAAAGGCCTTTTACTTCTTTACAAACTACTGTTATCAATGAAATGAATTTACATGCCTTACTTTTTATTCCAAAAGAAAAAAAAAACTCCATCTTTTAACACAAGGGTGAAACTGCTTTACAAATACACAGAACATCATAAAGATAACCAACACTGTTGGAAGAACGGGTAGAGGAAAAGACCCCAGAAGGCACCTTTTCCAGGACTAGCAGAATGTCTTACAGATGTCAACAGCCGAAGATAAACAGGTTGCTTACTTCACCTATTAAGTCATCACTATTTAAAAAATGAGTATTGTTCACACCTGGGGTTCCTAAAAGCCCCGAAGGTCCACTTAGTAGGATGTCATTAATTTATTCCAAACTATTGCTCAAGTCACAGCGTTCCCATTTCAAAATATAATCCTGGGACTTTGTAAACAATAACATGGAAAAATAAAATACAATGAAAAATCTCTTTTGAGACTGGAACCTGGAAAGTCAGGCTATGATGAGTCTGACCCACAGAGCCTGTCAGATATAGCAATCTAATATATAAAAGTTACCATTAGATTACAAAATTGAGAAATGAAGCAGGGTATGCAAAATTATATCACATGGAAGGTATTCTGTAAATTGACAAACTTTTTCACACCTGCAAAATGGGAATAGTATTCATTTTCCAGGTATGTTTTTGGGGTTAAGCAGCAGTATATGAAAAACATATGGTTTGGCAAATTAGGTGCTTGATGATATTGATAAATTTTAAATATTATATGGGAACAATCACATATAACAATGCACTGTAATTCAACAGGTGCCCAAACCACATGGAGTTTTTTGTTTTACCACATTTAAAATGCTATTCAGTACTGTCATTACTTATAAACAAAACAAAATCAAAGACTAGTAAAATAAGAGAGGTTATGTGGCCACTAATTATTATTTTTTTTTTGTAAAGGGAAAAATCTCAACCAAATATGCAACTTAATTCTACTCCCTGGAACCCATCAATTCAAAAGGAAATGGAGAGGGAGGTAGAGGACAAAAACACGCAGGAACTACACAGATACTGTTTTGAAAGATCACACAGGACACCTCTAAGAATTACCAATTCAATGTTCAACACTAATGATAAAATTATGTAAGGGTACAAGAACTCAAATCTGTAATCTTTACTTGAAACAAACTCTAAATTCCATTATCACTTTTTATCTCCTTGAAAATAAAGCTGCTTTAAGAACATTTTCCAACAAAAAATAATCAAGTCAGAATTTATGGACTCTAACCTGAAATTTAAGTTCCTGGGCAAGTTAAAACAAAATTTTCTATAGGGATAAAAATACCTCAATTTTAGACCTCCTTTCAGGCTTTTATAGTCTACCATATTTTCAAAATTCTTCTAAATTTAAAGGCTTAAATTCCATTTCCAGATTTCAAGATGAAAATTAAATGTGAGGGAATCAATGACAAACTTTATATCCTAATAAGGAACTAAGGAATCCAAAACATTTTGTGACACTATAAAGGTATTTATTCACTATACACAGAACATGTCCCCTGTAAGATGTACACGTAAATGACTAAAAGTATAATTTGGTGAACATTTTTTCAATTACAGAACATACTAAATCAGCTGGGGTAACAGCTGTCTGCCTCCAAATAATCTAATTATAGCACCCAGGATCTCCTTTATAGCTAATGCAAAATTAAATATTTATTTTTGGGATTACTTCCTTATGTGTGTGATTGAGGCAGAGTTAACAATTTAGTAACTAGTATATTAACAGTCACTACACAATAAATCAGTTTATTACAAATTAAAACATTTTTCATTATTTGTATTAATGGGATGCAAACAAATAGGTACTTGTAAAAGGCTGAAAACCATAAAATTACTTATCTTTGATAGTGTACTGGGCTTTATAATTATATTAGGATATGAATGGTGTAAAATATTGTTATAATACACCTCAAAACAACGAGGCCATATTATAACAATTCACTAGATTGTGCTCAGTAGACATTTATTGAATAAAGGAATTATTATCCATTCTTTCCCCAATTATCCAGTACAATGCTTTGCCCTTGATAAGGGCTCAATAAATATTTGCTGAACATACTATGAAAGAGGTGAGAAGAGATGGGCCCTCTCAGTTGGATGTCAAGTATAATTGGAATTTACCTGGGAAAGAGAGTGGTTAAAGAAGATGTAAACTGCATGTGGTACAAGTAAATAAACTCAGATGGCAACAAACCAAACAAGCAGAAAACACTGGCACCAGAATAAACAAAGGCAAGACGTGCCAATAATGGCATAAATGGAACTGACTTTTAAGAGATAACCAAGAAAAAGTTTATATTGGACCATACCTTTTCCCACCCAATTCAGTTTGAGACAGACCAATAGAGGCACTGTAAGAGACTATGGCTGTCTTCCTTGATATTCAGACATCCTAGTTTCCAATAATTTATTATGGACCTGTTACCCATGAATCAATATAAACCTGTTCATATTTAGGGATTAGTTTCCACAAGTACAAAGTTGAATTTCCTTTTATTTGTCCTAAAATGCTTACTTTCAAACTCGAAGGGACTTCAATTATTCCATGTAGTTTTCGATAATTCTTTTATCTTTTCAGACCAGAGTCAAAATATTCGTACAGTATTCATACTGCAGCACCTTCCACCCACCCTTTGGTCGCTTGAACTGCCCTTCTTTGGTTCTTTTTCCGCTTTCAGATCTTTCTTGAAGTGTAGTAAGCAGAACTGTACTGGGTATTCCAGCTGCAGTTTGGTCTTAAATAAAAGAAGGATGTTTGTCAGTTTGGTTTTCTTTATTCTTCTCTGTGGTATACAGGATTTTGTTAGTTGAACTGGATGTAGCAGCTTACTGGGTCAAATTTTCAAGAGAATAGTACAGTAGTTCCCAGGTCTCTCCCCTAGGTTGTAACTTAAGAGCTCATACTCTATGTAGCACTATCTCTTTTCTTCTTGCTTACTTTGCTTTAAAAAATGCAGAGGGGTCTCAGGTAAAAAGAGGTGAAATGTTAGCCCTCACTTGTGTGTTGATATGACTATTCAATATTAAGCCCAGTGCCAGACACAGAAGATTCTCAATAACTGTGAAACCCATCAATGATGTGACCCAAAATTAGCTCACTGGTACAAAAAGATCCTCACTACATATAAGTAAGATCCTAACTATCATGAGTTCAAATGCAGTATAATCCTTGTGAAGCTGTTAGGTAAGCTATTTAATAAATAATGTAAAAGCTTCTCAAGAAATTGGTGTTGAGTCTAAAAATAAATTAACAAAGGAAATTAAAACATTAGGCCTTCTAATTCTAAACAGACTGAAAAATTTCATAGGCTCTAACCAACTTCTCTCAAATTATAGTCTGTTTAAATGTAATCCTGACTAGTCCTTTACTGCCTTTTCTTTGTGCCTTAGTTTCCTTATCCGTGACATAGAGAAAATAAGAGCATTTTTCTTCTCATAGGGTTTTGTGGAGAGTGAATGAATCAACACACAGCCCCTTGAACAGTGTCTGGCACGTGGTAAATACTTAATAAAATAAATTACCTGCTATCAATGTAAAAGTAGCCAGAATTCAACCCACATAACACCTGCACTACTCCCCCACAGTGGTTATCACTTAATAAATGCTCACCAACATTCAATGAAAAAGGATTTAAAATCATGTCATAAACATAAGGCCCAATGTATCTTGTTTAGGAAGGGGGGGAGAGAATTATTGATCCAGCCATCAATGAAAGTATAAATTTAAAACTAGCAGGCCCAAATTTAATTTTAATATGTATCTTAACATTATCAAAAAACCTCTTAGGTTAAGAGGCTTAATGAGCAATCATGAATGACATACACAAGGAGGCCTTAAATACTATGTAAAAGATGTAGACTTCTGATAAGTCCTATCATTTCCAAAGAAAGTTATGCCTAGTGCAACACTGAATAAAAATATCCCTAAATCTACAAAGGACTGTTTTCATTATTTTAGAATCATATCCAATACTATAATAATTCCAGTTAATCATTATTTCCTTCATTTTGTTTTTATTATAGCATGTTTGCTTAATTTACAGCAAGCAGAAAATAAGCTGGGTCTTGTTTTGATCCAAACATTGATGTTTTTAAAGGTTGTACACAATATTTGTTAAAAAGAACATATAAAAATACCTTTTTAGAAGCTTCTATAAGAAAGAAAATACAAAGTTTAACCCCACAACTTTCCTCTTTGCTAGAACTGCAAACTACTGCTACAGTTTTAAATAGACTTTTTGTTGTTTAAACTATACATCCAGGAA